CCACGACCATGACCACGACCATGACGGCGAGGAGCAGCAGCAGTCGCAGTACAGCAGACTTGCATACTTGTGGTCGAAGCACTGATGGCAGCCATGGCCGTCCATGTTCAGGATCAGCAATAGGTTTAGCACAGTGTTGCTTCTGCTTCTTCCGATAGCGAAAGTATGTGCAAATGTTGCTACAAAACGCCGCGTATTTGCACAAAGAAACTCACAACCCATTCCCGTACCAGTCCTCTCGGGCATATGCACGGAGGATTTCTGCAATCTCAATTCTCACATCATGAACTTTGTTGTTCGAGGGGAAGACACGCGCGACATCCCGCGCAATGACCACCTTGGCAAATTCTGCATGAGTCAGAATGTGCTACAACATGTGAAGCTGCTTCACTTGGGTTGGGCGCGAATCCCAGCTGGCTTCAAAACTTTGGCTATTTGTGCCACTGCTGCTACCTTAACTCATGGCAGTGAGTCTACAGCTTGGCCGGGCCACTGCTGCGTCATGGAATCGGCTGTCAGCCAGCAAGCGGGAAGCTTCCTCGCGACTTGAGTATGGTGTTGAATCAAGTAAGATACTTTCCCAGATCCGCCGGCCTCATCGAAAGGAGGCTAGAATATTACACTACGTCGGGGACTGTTTACTACCCATTGCTATCCCCCATCACAAGTACCATTCACTGAAGCTTTCAGCAAGGACCATGTGACGACTTCGGCGTAGCAGCACTGCACTACTGGCAGATACTCCCAACAGACGTGGTACAAAGGCGAGACGCATGTCACTTGCTGACCTGCTTCCTTTTGATGACTTTTGTCACTTGTTTTGGTGGCACAGGCGTACACACATGCACATATCAGAGGGCTTTCTGGATTTACGCATGACTTTGCTCATGAGGCAGGGGTCGTCACCCACAATTTTGTTCTAAGGCAAAGCAAATCCGGCCGCGAAACAAAGCAACCTCTCCCCACATAAAACCCAAGAGTCCCTAAGAGTCTGACAAGGCGAAAAGATCGGAGATGGTATTTGATCCCGGCAGGCGATAGGAGGACAATCTATCTCTCTCTCTCTCTCCTGCGAACTCAGTTGCCTGTCAGCCTCGACGAAGGCCCGAGCGATATTCGCAAGACACTCCACATTACAGACTTCATTATTCACATATTACATGCGGAATATATACATAAACTACCGACTCATCAGAGTGAGAAACCAATCACATGAGGACCCACGAAATAGACATACACGTTCATGCGTACATGTGTATATATATATGGTAACATTTGCAGAAACCCTAAATATATCTATATATGTGTGTATATATAGAGACACATATATATGCGCATCTCATATATCGTATGAGCACATACATACTACATACACAACTTACAGGCATGCCACTTAACGGTCCTGGGCATCCTCCAGCTGGTCATCGCTCGGGAGCGGGGAGGACAGGCAACGCTTGATGGCGCCTCTGACTAGGAGCTGCTAAGGCTCTCCGCAGACCCCTTGGAGGATCTAAAAGTAGTTCCCCTACATGAAGCCAAAATGACCCCATATAATGTCTATACAATGCCACATAGTGTTCTAGGGAATCTAATCTTCAGATCCGTTTGGGGCTCTGGGTCCCAAACTAACCTAGAATCTGAAGTTGGGCCCTTTACCTGCTAGTGCTGACTTGGGAACAAGGGAATATGATCCCTCTATAATCCCTATGTAATATACTCCCCTACTGTAGCAGGTTATAGATTACATTCCTCCAAAGCGGGCATAGATGGAGTCTCAAGAGGAGCTTCCCGTACTGCCTAAGTTATGGCAAGGGGGAATTATAAAACCCAGCCACAAGGTTTAGGGTTTAGGGCCATTGTAAATTCGGGGGGACATTCACTCTGGGGGGGTGGGGTGGCTTTCTATCAGGGGGAGAAGATCAGTAGCCAAGCTGCAGATGGACATATCTTCAGTGCGAAGGCCCCCTGCAGTCAGCAAGCCAAGACTGAGGACAAGCAACATGAGATTGGGGGTTTGTGTTTAGGGTCTAGGGTGTGGGGTTTAGGGTTTAGTTTGGGTACTGCCCCCTCAGTAACAATTGGATAATATTTATATTATGGTTATATATATAGCCCTTAATAGGACCCCTCATATAGACTGTTATACTGGGGGGGGGCAGTACCCAAGGTTTTTTTTTAGCACGCCTTTTTCCGCCTGCATGACAGACGAAAGACTCCAGGTCAGGCGGGGGAATACTTGCATACTCTAGGAAAATGTGCAGTACTTGCTACTCCTGCCCTTCAGTGCTTCTTGGCCAGTCAGCAGCCCGAGCATCCATCTTCGCGGGCATGGCAGTTGGCATTTCCAGGCTCGGCATAGACAGTGTCATGCGACCAGCGTTCACGGCTATCATAAAGGGTGTGGCCACAGCAATTGTCCATCTGCCGATCTTCACCATTGCAAACTTGCCCTGGTGAACCCTCAGCAGCGACTGCGCCTGGATCCTGCCCTGGCAAACCCTCAGCAGACCCTTCAGCAGCACCACCACCGCAAACTTGCCCTGGAAACCCTTCAGCAGAAACTGCATCTGGAGCATGCCCTGGAAAGCCCTCAGCAGATTCTGCAGCGACGCCACCATCTTGAACATGCTCTTCCGATCCCTCGGCAGCACCTGCTCCTGGAACATGCTCTTTACCACTGCAACCTTGTCCCTCAGAACCCTCAGCGGTTACCACACTTGGAGCTTGCCCTGTAGGACCGTCAGCAGAAGCCTCAGCGGCTCCAGCACTGTGAACCTGCTCTCCCGAACCTCCGGCAGAAACCGCACCTGGAACTTGCCCTCGAAAACCCTCAGCAGGTGCCTCAACCTCCGGTGCCGGGAATTCTTCTGTTGCCGCCTCGCTGGCCTCGTCCATGCGCTGGCTATCGCCAGCAAAGTCTTCCGCTGCCAACACCGCTTTCAGCATGGCTTCTTCTTCCGTCTCCTGCGTGGGCCCTCGGACTCGTGCATCTTCCCTTGCCTGGCAGAACTGGTGAAGGACCTGATCCCCCCGCCTCCAGGCGACCATGTCATCCGTGATCCAGCCCTCTTGCCACAGACGCTGATACTGCTGCGCTGCCTCCAACGTCAAAGCTTGGCCATGTTCCGGTGGTACATCGTCCTCTTCCTCCAGGCGTTGGGTGGCAAGCTCAATTTCCTGGTCAGCACCCTCCTGCATGATGGCCATTTCTGCCGCATCCTCGGGCGCCTCCGCCACTTCTTCGGCTGCTCGCGCTTCTTCCACCCTGCCATGCCCCACCACCTCCGCTGGCTCCACGATGTAGGAGAGGCATTCGCCCACGGGCACGTTAACATCCATGGTGGCACTCGCATAGATCTTCCCTCCATGTCCTTTCACTGCCACTCCGACCCTCATTCGTTTGTGTGCAGGGCCCCTTGCCTGCATGGCCCGGTCAAGGCACCAGTCTTCCCATTCTTGATATTGTGCTGCCTGTAACTGCTCCCATCTGTCGCTTCCTGCTGGGAGGCCTCGAGCGCCTGGTGCCGGTCGTGCTCCTTCAGCTCTCTGACCTCGTCGGCTGTGGCAGGCGTCAGTCCATTGGCCTCTTGCACCCGGACATCCTCATAGCTGTCACCCCACTTCTATGACGTTTCTGTCTTCTTCCCCTCCGATGCCCGGGCTGAAGAGGAAAGGCCTCATCATGTGCCAGGTGTGCTCCGCCCATTCGTCCTCCGCCGCCACTGTGCACACCTCCCCGGACGAGCTGGCTCGGCTGCCCGCATCAGCAAGGTACCCGACCAGCATTGCCCTCAGCCTCCACAAGCGCTCCTGCCACAGAACTTGTCCTGGAGCCACATTTTCACCAAGTCCATCCACTTGATCTCTAATCCATCTCAGTCTGGCTTGCAGCGTGGCACCGGGCATTCTGTCCAGTTGGCGCAGCACATTGCGCAGGACTTCTCCGAACGGGTCAACTGGCGCCACGGCCTCCTGCATCAGACTCTGGACGTCTTCTTCTTGTACCCTCTGGCCCTGTTTGCTGAACAGGTAGGTCTGCATCATGGCATTGTTGTCAGTTTCACGTTGGCGCCTTGCCACCTCAGCCCCTTCTTGCAGGGCAGACATGATCTGCGCGAACATCACCGCCACGAAGCGTAGCAAGCCCTGGTAGAGCTCCGCCTGCTCTTCCGCACTGGCCATGGCACCTGTGTCCACAAGGTTGGCTATGATGTGTGGTGGGATGGCGTCAGTGCCCGCATCCAGGTCCAAGCAGCTGTCCTCGTCGGTCAGCTCGAGAGTACTTGGCAAAGACCTGTGTCGAGTTCCATCCGCCTGGCCACTCTGGTTCTTGCCGGAACACGGCCACAATCAAGCCCTTCATCCGGCCTTCGGTCCGCACCACGACCTGAACCGCTTGCCTTCTCTGGCCTGTCATCCTCGACTTCCACAACTTCATCTTCTTCATCCCACTTGCTTCTGGACTTGCCTTTCTTGCCCTTTCCCTTGGCCCTTCTCCATGGCGCCTTCTTGTACTTGTCTTTTCTGTCCGGGCTTGGGGCCGTTCTCTTCATCCACTTCTTTCTCGGGTCGTGCCTCCTTCTGGGCTCACTTCCCCAACCCCTTGAGCTGCTGGTGAGCGTCCCTTGAACCAGACTAAGGAGGTCTCCCTGCTCTTTTTCCTGACCCACATTGTCCGCCAACATGATCCCTTGCTTGCCCTCAAGAAAGCCAAAACCCTCATTCTTGCATGCGAGCCCCTCTGCCGGCACGTTCTTCCTGTGGAGCTGGTCCACCTGCTCCTCGTCAGTCTCCCCAGCGTGCTGGCCGCAGCAGTGCCCGCTGCCATGGTTTCCACCTTGCCTCACTTCTTTGTCCCTGGTTTGCCGGCAGCAGGTAGCACTGGCCATCCCTTTCCCGCTGAGGCTTTGAGGCGCGCCTCGGCCATAGAGGGCGTAGAGGGGCATCTCTTGCTTGCCGTCCGGTGAGCCAGAGCCCTCATTCTTGCATGCGACATCCTCTACTGGCACGTCCGTCCTGCAGGGCTGGTTCACCTGCACCCCATCAGTCTTGTCGGTGTCCTGGCCGGGGCAAAGTATGCCGTCTTGGTTGCTGCACGGGATCAATGGAGGCAGCTCTGCGGGGCTCTTCAGCGGCCTTACGGGCAGGGAAGACAGGTTCTCGGGGAGGAACAGGGAGTAGTTGTACTGCAACAAAACGTCATTCTGAACATCTTCAAGCGCAAGAAAACATCGGCTGCTTAGCTGACGAAAAATATGGATGGTCTCGCGCTGATTGGTGCACCGATCATCACGAGTCTTGAGGACCGTCTCCCAGCGCAACAGCAACGAACACGTAGAACATGTGCTTCATGACAAAAGCTAGCCCTGTGCAACTATTCAATCCACACGGCTGCACGCGATGGGAAATCAACTTCGTTGTCACATGACTGCCACACCTTCATCACACCTCTACATGCAAAGAGAGAGCTGTCTGCACGACGACCATGCCACTGCTTGTTTCGTGTTTTCATGTCCCCTCCACTGCTGGCGATTTGCCGCCGCCGTTTTCCAGTACGGCCCCCCTATGGTGTCCCCAATGGCCCGCTCAACCGCCATGACGTGTGGGAAGTGTCTCCTTCTGTGCCTGCTCCCGACACTGGTGTTTTGCTCCCGCTGCCACCACACCAGATCCCTGAACCCTGTAAGCAGCCCTGCAATGGTGGTGTGATCTCCTGCATTTGCCCTGGCCCTATGTCCCGCATATCGCCAGAACTGTCTGAGGTGGATGTCTCCCCACCGCTGCACTTGCTCCCTCCAGAGAATGGCCCTCGCATCCCTGCACGCCCTAACCTCCCAGTCAACCCAGAGCTCCCCCGGTCTGCGATGCATGTGCAACATCTCCTTCAGACACTGTATCTGCGCAGCATTGAGTTGTTGCTGGATCTTTGCTGTCGGAAAGATAGCCCCTATAATCCATCTCATGCTGCCCATAACAACCTTCTCGAGGAGCCGGAGTCTGAGGTTAATAGGGGAGTTGGCAACAAGCATGTGCCGAATGCTATGGTACTTACCTCTCGCTCGGTCAAGGAGACAGGCAACCACATCCATCTCGCAAACCCCCGCCCCTGCCGGCAAATTCATGACTGTGATGCCCTTGTTGTGTGGCTGCGGTACAATTTCGGTGTCCCCAACCCTGAGCTTCGCCACGCCCACAATCCCCGAACAAACCAGTTGGGACTTCTTGGGTTGGAGGAAAAGCCCGTACTCCTCCAAGAGCTTCACCAGAGCATCCAGCTGCACCTGCATCGACGACAGGTTGGATTGCCACAGGATCGTATCGTCCATAAAGGCTGTACCTGAAACATCCAAATCTTCAAACAGGGGGCCCTGCTGTCTTGGCAGTAAACAGGATGGGAGATTCTGTCGAGCCTTGTTTGACCCCGGCGGTGGTGCTCAGGTGGATATCCCCCCACGGCAACGCCATCACAAGCGAGGAGGTCTTGAGCAGGTCCAACAAACAGGCAGTTTCCGCCGGGTAGTCCTGTCCACACCAATCAACCACCATGTCCCCTAGCTTCGGTCTCTTCACCGCATCAAAGGCACGCTTGATGTCAAGTTTGAGGACAACCGCGGGAACTCCCCATTCTCGGACTAAATGGAAGATCTGCTTGACCGCCCAGAAGGCATCCGCAGCTTGCCTTCCTCTCGATGCGCACTGCATGACCCCTGCGGGCTGGAGACAGCCAGCCATTCTGCCCATCAACATGCGCGCAAACGTTTTGGCAACATGTGAGGCTAGCGAAATTGGCCTCAAGTCCGCCGCCCCCTGAAGGACCAGTGCCTTTGGGAGAAGCGCCACTACCGCCCGATTCCACTCTTTTGGCACTGTTCTGCTTTCCAAAATTCCGTTGAAGAACCGGGTCAAGGCTTCAAGCGTTTGGGGGTCCTGAATCATTTGCTTCAGGAGCTCAACAGGCACAGCATCCGGACCAACTGCTCTGGAATTCTTACCCGACATAACGCCGTCCCTCACCTCCTGCTCAGTGAACGGAGGCGAAGCGGAACTGCTCAGCCGGGCCTTGCTTGCATCCAACGCCCTATCGACCTCCAACTGGTCATCAGCCTGAAAAACTCCCTGAAAGTGATCATGGATACTCTGGAGAGGGTCCGCATGCTCATTGTCAACCATAAAGGAGTCCGCCCACGATCTCTTGGATTTGTTCAACTGCCTGTGTGCGCCCCAATCCCTCACTGCTCGCTCCGCCCTGTCGGTCGCCCATGCCCTCCTGTCGTTCTTCATTTGCAACTGGTATCGTTTCCAGTCTTCTGGTGACCTGCTGGCTCTGGCAATATCACGGAGTGTGTTTGCTGCCTGGCTGCTACTGAATTTCGGTTGCTTCGGCTTGGGTTTGGTGTAGAGTTGGGCTGCAACTTCCAGGGTGTGCTGTGTGATGTTACAAAAACTGGGTAGCCGCTCCACCTTCACCAACCTCGCACCGCCTCGCTTGCATTGTTTCGGTTGTCTGCCCCCACCCCTGAACGCCAGCTGGATTTCCACCTGGTTGTGGTCGCTGCCATTGATAGTCTTACTCCCCTGGTGGATATTCAGCCTACCGCACTGCATGCCCCTCACAAATGCTCCATCAATTTGTGTAGGCCGGATACCATTTCTGCGAGGGATAAACGTAGGCTCTTCTAGTTGGGCAGCTAGTGGGGGAACTTGTTGAAGATTTCTGGATCCCAACGCCGCCCTGACAAGCTCCCACCTCGTGTTATGCCCTCTGGGGAAGCATCCATCCGCACTCTCAAACCACTGAAAGTCCACATTGTAGTCGCCCAACACAATGAGCGGCAGATCAGTGGCTGGAAGCCAACTTTCAAATTCAGTCAAAACCCTGCTGAACTCCGAGTTGGGCTCGTTCTTGGGCAGGTGCAATGACCCCGCCCAAAACTCCCTCCCTGTCGGCTTGTGCTTGAATCTGCACCAAATCCCTCTGGACGCCTTCTTCTTCTTTAGTAACATGAAAACGGACTGCTTGAACAAAAACCCTATCCCTCGGTAGGTGATAATGTCCTGGTGGATGCAGCCCCCAACACCGTCGGAATCCACTGTGTGCCAGCCATACTGTGCTTTTGGAAATTCTTGGACAGCAAGCAGGTCAAAGTTGAGGACACTCTTGAAGGCTTCAATGGTGACGCTTTTTGACATGCCCGCCACATTCCACGATGCACCTGACTTTTACCACCGGCAGGTGGCTAGAAATGGCAGGTCCACCCACGTGGCCACGGTCCGCCTCTTCTCGAGGAAGACTGAGCTCATGCGGCTGGAGGGTGACATCCTGAGCTCGGTCGCTCCACAAAATCTATACATTGAGTGGCAGCGGATTGGCTTGACCACTCACCGCCTGGAATTCGCATGCATTTCGGTCAGCTTCTGGATCCCCCTCTCAGCTAGCGATCGCTAGCAACCACGTCTCCCTGATCTTGCCCTCGTCCTTGCCAGTCGCTTTAGCCGTTGCCTGTGGCGAGAACCAAGCTGCGGGAATCCGACCTTTTTCCAGCCCATCAACCTTCGGTGGTTCACGTGCAACTGAGCCGATCAATTCGGACCCCATCCACATACTTCCCTCCTTGTAGTCGCATTCGCACGAGCTAATGTCAATCTCCATGAGGTGGCAGACCTTCCGCATCTTGCTGACATGGGAGCCTTCGCCCTCGCCCTGTCCCTCGACAAGGCACACCAGATTGGCCTGCTCTCCATGGTATTCGGCGTTCCCGTCTTGCTTTGGTTGATCTTGGACACTATCTGCAGCATTCTTGCCTTGACCTCTTCTGGCCCCTCTCCACTCCTCGGGCGAAAAGTCGCCAGAGCAATGCCCTTCCTGGGGCCCGGTGTCCAGCCCTGCTCATCCATCAACGAAGCTGCTCCGACCTTGTCCAGAATTGTCTTCAGGTCACCAAGAACTACATGGCGGGCCGCTTCAGGTGGCCAGCCTCCAAAGACGAGCGCGGGCCGCCGTGGTCCGCTGGACTCCGAAGCAGTAGTAGACCCCCCATTCAAGGCCTTCTGCTCCAGGAAGGCCACCCGATCCGCTAGGGCACTCTGCGACCTCTTCATGTCGTCCTGCTGGGCCCGAACTGCGTCCAAACTCTCCTGGGTTCTCGCGGCCTCCTTCTTGATCTCATTCTTGACGTCGCCAATGGCTCCAAGGGTGCGTTTCTCCCACACCGCGATGGCTTTCTCCATCTTTTCGTCCTGCATCTGCTGTAGCTCAGCAGTCTGCCTCGCGAGCAACTTCCCAATGCCTTCCATGGTGAGGTCCATCTCGCCCCCCCTCCTATGGGGGGACTGCGGCGGCACGTCAGACCCCTCCAGCTCCCTTTTTCTAGTAGCAGCTGGCGGATCCAAGTCCATGACATCCGGAATGTTTTTCTTCGCCATGTCTCTCACGACCCTGGTTGACGCTCCTCCGCGAACTGCAGGATCGCACCGTCGGAGAGGAGGTCGCGAAGCTTATGGAAGGCTTCCACCTGAAGCGCCGAGCTCGCTCACGCACAACCGGTAGTGCTCCCCACAGACGTGGTCGTGCCCCAGGACAGCAGCCGCAGGCGCTATGGCTCAGAGAGCTCAGGAAGGGGGTTTGGGTCGGGTGGAGGGTTTAGGGCCCAAGGTTTAGTGTTTAAGGTCTAGGGTACCATAAATAGAGGCCCGTGGGCGTCCCCAAGCTAGACTCCAGTATACAGCAATCCCAGACCCCCTAAAGGATCCAAAAAATAGAACCCCCCCAACATGAACCCATCACTACATTGGGGAAACTAGGGGATTATTAGGGGGTTCCATTTTTTGGATCCTTTAGGGTGTCTGGCAATTAGTCCTTGTCTCAGTATCTTTTTGACTCCCATTATAAAATCACTTATCCTTATCAAAGGGTTTTTTTGAGTAAGGGAAAACCCCCACGACAAAGGGTATAACTACCCACCTGCCTGCGCAGGAGTGGCGCTGCACATCTGAGCGTGCCGTAAACTTATCCTCGGTAGAGCACCGAAGTCGTGGCCCATGCTTAATCTGCTGAAAGATGCTAATTCCTCTCCTCTAGCCTTACTGTTAGCTAGTAGGGGAATAAGAGAATATTGTATACAGGGACCATATGCCCTAAGGGACTATATTGCCTATTTAATCCCTATATAACACATTCCCACATTCTCTACTCACCACCAGTAGTAGGTAACAGGGAATCCAGGTATGTCAGTTACTGTCATCCGCATTAACATGCGCAGCGGAGTATGGGATGTATAGTACCTGGCTATAACTTGGGCTAACTTGGGCCTAGCCTTAACTAGCCCGGAAGGTGCATGAGATGTCCACTGTCAGCCCAGAATCCAGACTGGAGCGGCTGCGGCCACGGCCCGAGATAGGCTCCCTGCAGAGGAAATGAAAGCAGCAAGCCCTCTCAACGCTCTGCTACAGGCTAAGTAAGCAAATTACGAATAGCCAGTGGTATAAGTGGCAGTATTCGTAAGAAACTGAAGCATATTACCCGTGCCTTGGGTTTTTCACCGGCTAGAGGTAAGTCTGTTATTTCGTTTTACAACACATGTTGCACACAGAACTGTAAACGACTGGATACAACCATGGGATGCAGCGTTACAACTTCAATTGCTCACTGGCCGTGGGGGATGTTACGAGGTGCGGGAGCAATGACGACATGATGCGGCTACCCCGTTTTGTGGGCAAAGGGGCGTGAATGAATCCTCTTTAGTTGCAATTCTGTATACTATAAGCATCTTATGTATCATGTACAACGTTTACGAAACTTGCCCCTCATCCTACTTTATGAAATTCATGCAGTCGTGCCACGTCGCAGTGTCAGGGTCGATTGGCCCCGAGCACTCTTTGATGCCCAGGAACTCGCGCAGAATGACATCCTTCAGAAAGGAATGCTTGAAGCACAGCCCCTACCCATACCAATGAACCTGCCCACCCCCAAACATTTGATACCCCCAGTTTACTATAGCACCAACATGTTTGACTACGGCAGTGGGCCAAAATCGGAAGACCAATACTCAATGAACTCGTAAGTGAAAGCTGTGTCGAACTCGCCTCCACCGCTACATCGGCGGCCAGTGCAGCTTGCAAAAAGTCTGTTAGACAGCGCTGTCGAGCTTGCAGGAAGCCAATCGAATTGACGGCCTTTTGCCAAAGATGACCTCAGGGATGTTGGCCAAAGCCTATATGATAACAAGATCTCCACATACCTCATATTCCATCTACTTAAGGGGGACTATACATTGGTACACCAGCGGTCCAACAATTTGCAAGCATGATACAGTTGCTTCCGTCATTAGGGGGCTATGATAGGGGCCCCTAAGACTACCCCAGACCCGTGATTAATAAACCCCCTCCCCAGCATAGGGATTATAACATCAAAAGGACGGGTTAACTCAATCAGGGGTCTACATTATCCTTAATTTTGGGCCAATTTTGGGAAACCCCATATGAGCTATAGTCCAAACTCCTAGTATCCCCCTTGGTAATCCCTATAGTAGTCCCCTGTACAATCCCCTATATAACCACCTTTAAAGAATTTAGACAGTGGCTCATATGGCAGGCCTCCCTGCAGGGTGGGCAGCGCTGGAAAGCGATGGCGCAAGTATGCAGCCAAGAGCTTGAAGGCGTGGTATCCTCTCTCTTCCCAATAACCATGGCCAAAAAAGGAAGGGGTTTTGGGGCTGAGGGTTTTAATACGGTTCCCACTAACCAGGGATAAAAGGGTTTAGGGTTTAGTGTATGTTTTTTCTCATTTTTTCACGGACCTTTTTCGAACTAGCTGTTCAGTCAGGGTTTAGGGTTTAGAGCTTAGGGATATGTAGCTACCAAAAACAGGACGGCCAAAAAGGTTGAAGTTCTTCTATCAGCAAAGTAAGTATCTGTGCCACACAAAGTGGACGCCGGTATCACAAGATACCCGGATCTGGAAGATCACGGGGCTGAACAGCGATTCCTGATCATACCTGGGCAAACACAGAATGCTATGAAAAGGTTTCTAGTGGTTAGTAGGAAATTAAGGGAATTCAATCCTGTATAACATATTCCCGTATTCCTACTACCCCCCAGCAAGCCAAGCACCCAAGTAAATGAGCCCGGGGACCCAATGACGTCAACTTGGTAGGGCATGGCTGCGTTCAGGTCTCCGGCTCAAGCCGAGGTTGCCTCCACAGACAAACTCATCCGGAGCCACCAAGCAGCTATGACTTAGGTGGACCCCCACCCAGTAATTGTAATTCTAAGGGGTGCTAAGGGATTCTGTCAGGGTCCTCTTATAACAGGGTTGGGGATCCTCCTCAGCTATGATACAAAAACTATTTCTTGAGCCCAGGGCCAGAGGCAGGTCACAGCATGCAGCAGAAGGCAACGCAACAAGCTGATGAAATCAAGCAACGATGGCTGGGAGTTTCCCAAAATTAGGGGTACCCTTATGGGATTATGGTATTGGGGTCCCCCTATTATGGAACTACCGACTACTGAATGACAGAACAAGATGGGCCCACCACGCTCTGGGGTTACCGGTCTCATCTTTCCCCGCTCAGACCTCTGGATGGGGAGGACTGGAGGATTAGGGTTTAGGTTAGAGTTGGTGGGGTTTAGGGTTTAGGGTTTAGTTGAGGGTTCAAGGTTTAGTTTAGGGTTTAGGGTGTAGTTTGGGATTTAGGGTTTAGGATCCCAGGAATTCAGCCTTGATATGCAACTGGTACAAACTCAGCACCAAACGCCGACATCATTGCCACATTTCGTTGCCGGAGGTAGGTGAGGCTACCCTGCAGGCTCCAAACTGAAAATGCGGGATCGTGCGCCGTCTTGGCCACAGAATGTCACAGATTCCTTTGCAAGACTCTAAACTCCTAGTATCCCCCTTAATAGCCCCTATGGTATTCCCCCAAAGATAATCCCCTATATAACCCCCTTTAAGGAGTTTAGACCCTAAACCCTAAATCCTAAATAGTAGTTTCCATTTTCTTTTCCATTATCACTATATAATCCCATATAATCCCCCATATAACCCCCCTTTAAGGAGTGTAGACTATGTATGGTTCCTAGGCCTCCGCAGCGGAATCAGCATAAGGATCCGCATCAGGCGCCGGCTTCAGCCTCATAGCCACAGTTGCATGTTGCTCACTTGTTCCCAGTCACTGTCTGAAGGGCGTCGTCGTCGTAGTAGTAGTAGTAGCAGCAGTAGTAGTAGTAGTGGTGGTAGTGGTAGTGGTAGTGGTAGTGGTAGTAGTAGTAGTAGTAGTAGTAGTAGTCATAGTAGCAGCAGCACTCAGGCAGCGGCGCGAAATGGTAATCCCTTGTGTCAGTTTGTCGCACTTCTCTTACGACCGGTGGCTTTGCAGGCCGCAAATGGATGCCAACATCCTCCCAGCTGAAAAGAATGCTAAACCAGTATATAGTCCCCCTTAGGTAGATAGAATATGGGGTATATTGGGATCTTATTATAACATACCCAAAGCCGTATTCTATCTACTTAAGGGGGACTATATGCTCATCTCGTTGGATGATCCTTAACCAGCTGCCGTCCTCTTGTCGCTCCCACGTGTCCACCACTCTGCTGACCCCTGAAGCATGGACTGAGTCTGGCGCTGCAGACGATGCAAAAGGGCTGGAAAAATTCCGAGGTCACTGCCATCCGTAGGCAGCTCCTGAATCTGCACCTACTACGGAAGCGGTCAGTGCAAAAGGCCTGCTTCTGCATTTCCTCTGAGCTAGAGTCTAAACGCAAAGTATCCCCCAGCAGAATGAACCCCTACGTTACTCGCCCATATAATCCCCTATATAAGCACCCTTTACGGAGTTTAGACCCTAAACCCTAAACCCTAAATTATAGAATCCTCTATATAACCACGCTTCCGGGGCTCCCAGCAGTCATGTTGTGACCACTCCATGTTAGGCGGATCCAGCCATCCTAGCAGGGAAAGCACTGGGTTGCTATTAAGGAGCAGAAATTAAGTTACCATAATATGGGAACCATATGGGCTTTAGGGTTTAGGGCTTCAATTAAGTTACCATAATGGGTATATATAGCAGTCATAAAAAGTTTCCCCGCTATAGTAATGCAGCTCAAGTTCCTTAACAGCAACCCAGAGCAGGGCCAAAGAGCAGAACGCTGGCGAGACTACCGCCACATGATAACTTACCTTCGGTAAGCTAGGAATGAAGGAATTGATCCTTATAGCAGTCCCAATAAAACCCATTTTAATAGTTGCAATATTCTTTTCCATTCATTCTAAACCCTAAACGGTAAACTAGCCGCTAAACCTATAACCCAGTATAGCAGTTTCCATGTTCTTTTCCATTCCGTCTAAACCCGAAACGCTAAACCCTGTGTAACCTATTATTATGGTAGTTTGCATGTTTGTTTCCATTCCTTCATTCCCGGCTAACCAAAGACAAGATGGCGCATCCTGCCTGCGCAGCTAGCTGTAACCTTAGTCTGCGGATGTCACTTGAGCTATAGTCTTAAACTCCTACTGTTGACACTAACTAAGAATCCTGCATGACCTTATTATACTATAGTACTATAATTCCCATAGTATGAGGTACTTAGGGTCACGCAGGCTTTTTAACATCCACCGAAGCATCCCCCCTTGTAACCACTATAATACTGCCCTGCAGGATCCCCTGTATAACCCCCTCTCAGGAGTCTAGACTATAGCTCACTTGACTTAAATACTGGCATGCTCAGTATCACAGCCCCACATTCGGTGGCAGGTCCTTAGCTCCTGGCAATTCTCCAAATTTTCGGAAGGGCGTCTTTTGAATTGAGAAGTCCGAGCTGCGTTCCCTGCACGCTGAATTCTTGAAAAAAAAATCGACTCTCGCAACAGATGCATACACAAGCGCTTCTCAGCGGTAGACAATTACTTGGATTGTGAAGCCAGTCTGGATCAACCAGAAGGACCTGCCTCATCATGTGCGATAGCTTCCCTGCTTTGATGGGTCTTCCCCACATAGATGCCTGAGGGATGGATGCTCATGCAACATCGTAATTTCCCAGAACCCCCTCATCAAAATGCCGGACTTGACAGCAACGGCATGTGCTAACTTATGCTTTCCCATTATCCCTACAACACCCCAATATAATCCCTGTTTAATCCCTTCAATATAGTAGTTTCATGTTCCTTCCCATTCTCCCTATATAACCCTAGTGTCTTCCAGCGACCCTGCTTGTTGGAACCTGCTGCCGAAATTCGAGCATTGACCAAACTTGGTTGCTGTTAAGGAAGTTAAGTTAAGTTACCATAACGGGTATATATAGTACTTAATGTTGTTCCCCCAAACCCTAAACCCTAAACCCTAAACCCCATTAAGTATCTCACTCACAGAGCGCCAATCAAGGTGCGCAGCACACGTGAAACGTAGATAAATCACACAAAAAAACGCAGGGGGAACTGAGGTATTAATGT